CACTATAAAGCTCAGGGAACTCTTCCAGTTCAGTTACAAGGCAAAATCATCTTTTAAAATGATGCTAATGTCCCCCCTCCAGATCTCCTCCCCCTGTTGCCACACGTCCTTTCACGAAGCTGGGAGCACAGAGACCCCAGACTCGAAGTAGCTGGATCCCTGTCCTGTTGCTTTTCAAAAGGCGGGTGCCGGGCTTTGGGTTTCAGCGAGAGGGAGAGAAGAGGATGGGGGTGGGGACCAAGGAAGATGGGACCAAGGCTGCAGGCGCCTGCCAACTCCCTGGTTCCGGCGAGAGCTGGGGGTCTTTGAGGCTTCCCAAGTCCATGGCCTTCCTCTTTGTTCTCACTCCCCAGGTACCCCCAAGGGCAGCGGAGGCGCGGGGCCGGCGAGCTCGGAGCGCACGCCTTTCCTTTCTTCTTCGCACCCAGACTTTAAGGAAGAGAAAGAGAGGCTCTTGCCCGCGGGCTCGCCGTCGCCGGGGCCCGAGCGACCGCGGGACGGCGGCGGCGCCGAGAAGCAGGCGGGCGCGGCCAAGAAGAAGACGCGCACGGTCTTCTCGCGCAGCCAGGTGTACCAGCTCGAGTCCACCTTCGACATGAAGCGCTACCTGAGCAGCTCGGAGCGCGCCTGCCTTGCCTCCAGCCTGCAGCTCACCGAGACCCAGGTCAAGACTTGGTTCCAGAACCGCCGCAACAAGTGGAAGCGGCAGCTCTCCGCGGAGCTGGAGGCGGCCAACATGGCGCACGCGTCGGCGCAGACTCTGGTGGGAATGCCGCTGGTGTTCCGGGACAGCTCGCTGCTGCGCGTGCCGGTGCCACGCTCGCTCGCCTTCCCCGCGCCGCTCTACTACCCGGGCAGCAACCTCTCGGCCTTACCTCTCTACAACCTCTACAGCAAGCTCGACTACTGAGCGGCCCGCCGGCCCCGCGCCGCCCGCCCGCTCCCCGCCAGCCTGGCGCGGGCTGCCCCCACTCCGGAGCCAGGGCTGCGCGTTTCCAGAAATATTACGAGATACACCATGTGTATTCGTTACCTCTTATTTATGGCCTCTGCCCTACTTTTTGTTTTGTTTCTCGTATTTATCGGCATTCCTCCAGCTAGATCATCTGCTTTCTACCCCAAACAAACCAATACGTTTTGAAAACCATGTTCTAGGGGATGTTCTACGGTGGTGGTGGGAAAGGGAGTTTCGGCCAGATCGACATTGATCGGTAGGAAAAAAAAAAGCAGTAAAACACCAGACCAGGTACATTCTTCTCCCCCATATATACACCTGTATATATGTACACGCACACACGGCTGGCCAAGCCAGCCCTTGGGGGCTTCGAACAATGATCTCGACTCCTCTTTTCGTTTCCCTTGTCTCGAGGATGGGTAGGGGAGAAGGGGGGGGGAGATTTCAGATCTGTAAATATTTTTAAAAAGAAAAAAATAAAACATTCTAAGCATCGTTGCTAACTTTGGTGGAATTGATTGTCCGGCGTACTAACGCGCAGGTGTTCTCGCTTTTCCATGGAAGAGCTTGCAGGCGGGCGTCAGAAGAGGTCTGGCTCGAGCCCCGTGGAAGGTGGGGCGGGGGTCAGAGGTTAAAGGTTGGGACCTTGGCCCCGCCGAGGCGGCACGTGGGCTGGAGGCGCACCCCTTTCCACTAGCTGGTGCCCGTAGTCTCCGCGCGGCGGAGTCTCACCTCGGCGGGAACCCAACTCTGGAGCCCGCGCGGAGAGGGGGGCGGCAGGCTTCACTGCCGAAGCAGTTGCCTCCCGGAACGAGCTTCTTTCCAGCTCTGGGAGCGCCCCGGGGTTGACGGCAGCAGGGCGTCGTGCGTCGTGGTCCAACCTGTGACAGGAGCCTCCTCTCCGAGGGCACAGGGCAGGTGGGGCGGCGCTGCCTGGATCAGGTATAGAGCCCGGTTTGCTCGTCCCCCAGACTGGCGCGCTCACAGTTTCCGAGCCGCGCGGTGCGGGAACAGGTCGCGGAAAGGCAGCACTTCGGCTGAAGAGGGATGAGGCGCGAGACTAGGCAAAGAAAGCGCGGGAGGCAAAGGCTCCTCCCCACACTGTTTTGTTGTTGTTTATAGTTTGCCTTGTGCGTGGCTAAGGGGCCGGGTCGCGGGCGAGTACGTGGCAGCGGGCACTGAATGGAAACTTGGTGCGCGGTTTGCGCGCCCACGGACCTCGGCGCCCCAGCACCTGCTGCCTCACCCTGGCTGGGCGGGCGCGGCACCAAGAGGACAGACGCGTGCCGAGTGTCATGCAAATCGCAGTCTCGCAGTGTTAGATCGCAGCCACCTGTTCCTTGTAAAACGTCAGAAAAAAAAATTGCCTGAGCTTTGAGGATGCTGATGGTTCGGTGTCACGTGGGGCGAGCTCCCGGGTCCTCCTGCCTCCAGCCCCGGGCTACTCCTTAGCCGCTGCAAAGGTGTCGGGAGTCGGCAGCGCGGAGCCCGGATCCCATCCTCTAGAGGGGGAATATTTGCGTGATAGACCTGTCTGTTTGAGCCGAGAGGCATCGAAATTATCTGCATTTTATGAAAGTATGCAGGATATCTGTTACCCGTCTATGTGACCCGCAGTGTCATGTCTTAAATGCCTGGTGTCTTGTCCATTTGTGAGGTCATATTTTTTTGTTAGATTTCATAAAATTCAAGAACACATGTGCCAGTGCTGTGAGGTCAATTGCATTTATTTCATTTCAACTGAGTTCAATTCAATAAATATTTACTGAGCCCTAGTACTTGCTGAAAACTATGCTAGATATTGGCTAGTCAGAGAGAGAAAACAGAACTGACACTGGATCTGTTTTTTTCTGATTTATTTGGTACGCATATTTCAATGAAGTTTTCTCTTTCCAGAAACCTGCTTTAAATTTTTCTTTCCTCTCAAGCTGCTATTTGAATATTCCATGCAGAAATAACGGAACTGCCTTCAAGGAACTACTTGAATAGGAATATTTCACCCATATCATTTTTGTCTGCACTTCAATAGATTACATTACAGTATTGGGTCACTATATCCTTCTTGGGCTTACTTCCTTCATAGGAAGTTGTTTCCTGTAGGCAGTTAATGGCAGAGTGGTTTTTGCCCTTAAGATTTTAGGGATGATCATTTTCCAGTTTGTCATATAGCGGGTACTTCACTTTTTTTACTAATCCAGAAATTAGTAGTCAAAGGTGATCCAACAGTGTGATTAGTTTCTAGGAATTCCTCTTTCTTATAGGTAACTAAGTACACACACACACACACACATGGCTTTGCATGTGGATTTGAAATGTTCAAGACTCCATTGTGGCCAGGTTTCCTATCTCAAGACTATCAATTCATTTGAATAAGCAGCAAAATCATCAGTCTCCTTTCAGGCTCTAAACTGGATTTAAAAGATTGACGTTTCTTAAAACTCAAATCGAGTCCGGCTGCAACTGCCTGCCCAGAGGGACCTGAATCATACACACACTGGTTAATGAAATACGCTTAGATTTTATTAGTGGGTAATTCATGCTCAGAATCTCGAAACACTAGTAGAATTAAATAAACAACTGGGAGACGGAACCAAATAAAATTATTTGGAGATAAAATTATTTAGCCAAAATTAGAATGGAGGCAAGGCACTGCACTTTAAAATTCTTAACCTAGCCATTAAGTTGTTGAAAGAGGAGAGAGAACCAAGTATGAGGACTGGTGAGGAGACAGGGCAAGAATCTGTCCTTTTGACAGGAATATCATCAATACACCGGGCAGAAGGGTGGTTGTTGTGTGTTTACTGTGTCACCATTCATAAAAAAGTGCACCTGAGTCAGCATATATGCATGCATAAGGACCAACAACACTTTTTCTCTATCAAGGTAGAAATTAAACACTTTAACCTCAGCAGTTTCCTCCCACTTCATACAAGATCATTTAATAATAAGATTTTTTTTTACAAAAGCCTGTGAAAAAGAGGTTATAGCATGGATTAAATTGAAAATTTTCAGTGTACTTTTGATATTCAAGAGTAACTGAGTCACAGCATTCTAGTTATAAATTAAGTATTGCTTTTCTTTCATGGAGACCAAATTATTTCTCATTACAGGAGCAACGTTCTTGATTCTCCTATTTCTGGAGGATTCTAGAAACAGAAAATCCAGCAAACCGAGCCTGCAAGTCTGGCGAGTTCTTGGGGTGGGAGGGGGTGGATGGAGAGAAGCTTGTAGGTGTCATTTTAGGGCCCTACTTGAACATATGTCTCAAAGAGGCTTTTGAGCTTTAACACACTGCAGAGTAATCATTTGTTTCTCAGTCTGTCCAACCTTCTGGACAAAGAGTTCCTCAAGAGCAAGAATCGGTCTGATTAATGCATCTTCCCGGTTTTCTCACCAGGCCTGGCATGCGCTGGGTGCTCAATAAATGTTTGCAGGAAAATGGAATGAAGAGATAAGCAGAGTATAAATAAGGATGAGTATCTTTAAGGTCAGTAGATCTTCGACAGTGGGAAATGTGAGAGCCTGGTTCATAGGTGGAATGTCCAGGAAAATGAGAAAAAAGTAGGGCAAAATATACACTTCATTTGAGCAAATAGTTTTTTCTCCATTCCAATTTTGGTCAACTTCATAGGCATATGCATGTGCAGTGGAAGGGAAACTAATTTAGCTCTATAAAAGTACTGACCAAAATAAGGTTTTTGTGTCTGAGAGATTAACTGAGATGGGGAGGGCCCCAAGAGTCAACTGGGAAGAGTATCTTTCCCGCCTACTATTCAGAGGACAGGCCAGGCGTCGGCCCCAGGGAGACTACATCTCCCAGCGTGCCGCACACGGAGGGGCGAGGGCGTGAGCGCAGCCTTGGCGCGGTGCTCTTTGGGAGTTGTAGTTTTCACTCGTCCGGCACTTGCGCTGGCGCCTCAGCCTGGTGGTGAAAAGAGGCCACGTGACCGGAAAAGCCGTCACTCGCCTTTGTGCCGGAAAAGGTTGCCTGGGTTGACTGACGCCCGGCGGACCAATCGGCTGCCTAGAGCGAGACGTTGGCGTTTGAAATCAGCCAATGGCAGGCATTGGCTGGAACTTCCTCTCCGCCCCTTTCGTCCGGCCTGCGAGAGCTACGAGGGAAGCTAGGCGGCGGCGAGTAGCGGCGAAGTTGCTTCAGAAGGAGCTAAGGTAACGGGGAGAGGCGGCCGGGCGCAGTAGCGAATTCTCTGGGAACCCCTCCACCACCCCCCGCCCCCCGGGCCCGGAGCTGGCGGAGCCGTCCTCTGGGAACCGGTTCCTCTTCCACAGGTTTTCTTTTATTTCAGGAGCAGGCGGGGCGGCAGGCCCAGTGGGGGAGGCCGGGGTGCAGGAGCCCGCGGCGGGCCACGCTGGAGGCTGGAGTTAGGGGTGCGGTGGCGGCGACGCGGCCGGCTGGGGCGCTTAGAAGGGGCGGCGTGGGGTGGGATGGGGGAAGATGAGGCCGGACCGCGGCGGGCGCGGCGGTTCCGCGCAGGCGCAGAGGCGCAGAGGCCGTGTCGGCGGCCTTCCCTAGGCCCGGCCCCCGTGGGGCCCCCTCGCTGCCGCGCCGTCGGCGAGTCCAGCCCCCGGACCCCTGGGGACTCTAACTAGGCGCTTGTTCTGTAGATGACCGGTTCTAACGAGTTCAAGCTGAACCAGCCACCCGAGGACGGCATCTCCTCGGTGAAGTTCAGCCCGAACACCTCCCAGTTCCTGTTGGTCTCCTCCTGGGACACGTCCGTGCGCCTTTACGATGTGCCGGCCAATTCCATGCGGCTCAAGTACCAGCACACCGGCGCCGTCCTGGACTGCGCTTTCTACGTAGGTGTCCTCCGCTTCCGCTTCTGCCCCCCTTTAATAGTCTCGGTATGGTGTTCCTGGTCAACGGTATCCGTTTTCCGTTGTTGGGCCGAGGCTTTTGTCGGTGGGGTCATTTGGATAGCTCCCCTCTCTTCCCCCAGCACTTACCTTGAGCCCCAGGTACTGTTTTTTTGTTTGTTTCTGTTTTTTTTGTGTGTGGGGGGGTTTTTTTTTTTTTTTGGCGCTGGGGACTTGCAGACGTCAAGAACTCGGTCTCCCCTTGTGTTCTAATGGCGCAACTTTGCAAACCTTTTGGACGTAATGTGTTTGAAACTCACAACAAGACAGTAACATTTGGCTGTCTTGTTAAAAGAAAGGTCTGTTTGCGAGTACATGGGAATGCCTGTTGACTGTCAGCCAGTGTGGTGAACAGTTCTTCCTTAATTTGCTGGCGTAGTAGTTTTCTCAGCTCCTTAATTTGCTTTATTTTTTGTACTGTTTTTTTGTTTGTTCACAGTGAGTAGCTGAGCCCAGTGTACCTCTCGTCCTGAGCATAAACTGGATAGTTGGCTGTAGAAACAGGAATTTTAAAATGCTTTTTAAAGCTCTGTAAGTTTTAAATGACTTGCAACTTTATTTTGTAGGATCCAACACATGCCTGGAGTGGGGGATTAGACCATCAATTGAAAATGCATGATTTGAACACTGATCAAGGTAACATAGCCACATTTTTACCAGTTTAGTGTTTTCTTAGTTAGTGCTTACTTGTAAATGTTTATTCATGAAGAGTAGTTCCTGAATTGCTTAGTTCCTAAGTTGCTTAGATACAAGTAAAAATGGCTTGAATTTAGGACTTTTTCGTTTAAATGATAACCATTAAATTACAATCACAAAATATTATGCATGTATTTTATCAGTGAAACTCATGATCTCCATCCACAGTGTTTACATGAAGTGGCACATAAGTATTTGCCCTTTCCCTTGCCCTCAGAAGGGGACTGGGTCCCGCAGTGGACTACCTTTCAGTAGGATTTTTCCAGGACAGTGCTGATGTTTCAGCGTTCTCTTTTCAGAAACTAATTTAGTTTAGACTGAAGGAAGATATGTTTTAAAAAATTTAACATTATAAAATAGCCAACCCTGTCCAGATACCATGTTAACCCCGCTTGTATAATTGTTTAGCATAGAATATGCTTCAGTTGCGTTTATTGAATGAAGAACAAGATGACACATTTTCTTTTAGTTAATTTCTAAGAGATATGAAATAACTTACCCACATTTTTGTGGTGACTTTGGAGCAGAGTAGAGATTGGAATGGAACCCGAATACACAGAGCTCTCTAGTGGAGGTTTTTTTTTTTGGTATATGCGTACGTTAGACATAGATGTACTTGAAGGACATGGCAAGGCACAGAGATACGACTAACGAGGATGAGTTGGACAGTGGGATGGATAGAGGATGGGCACTATATCTTATCCAAAAAAAAAATAAAGAAGGATCCAGTCAGAAGAGGCTTTTGCATGAAAGCCGTTTTGTCATGTAACTTACAACTGCAGGCGTTTGGTTTTGTTTGCTAGCAGCTTATTCTAGATAGGAAGTTAGCTTGCAGGTTTAGGTTCTATTTGTTTGAAAACTCAGGAGAAAAAAAGCACTGAAAAGGAAACAAAAGTTTTTGAAGTTATAGGCCATAATTAAGGGAATTAGCTGTTTATTCTCAGAAGGTCATTGCTGAACTTCACGAGATACCATTTAAACAAGAAAAAAAAGTATGTATTTAAACAGGTAGTTTTCCTCTTTGAGGATCAGGGCCACATATTGTTTGTTCTTTGTTGTATCCTTAGCATGTGGTATAGATTCTGGCACATAGTAGACATTTAGTAGATGTTAGTTGAATGAATGAATCAGATAGGGTGAAGAGTTGAAACTGAGAGGAAAGAAATTGTATATTAGAAATTTGACCCACCATGAAAACCAAGTGGGTTAATCATAAGACTCCCTGCCTTCCTCATCCCCAGCTCTCAGATAATCCTGTTACCACTTAAATAAGTTTCTTTGAAACATCAGCTTAACTTGGTAAGTTTTATCCAGATACTTTTGACCAGAGTTCTCCACTCGTTGGTTCATTTCATCAGGTATTTCTTGAGCACCTACCGTGTTTAAGAACCTGTACTAGATAGTCAGAACTATAGAGTTAAACAAGGTTCCTGATTTGAAGGAATCTAGAATCAAGTGAGGAAAATAACAAATATGCCACCATTTTAATGTAATCTGAAACTGAAGTCAGCTTTTGGTATTACCATGCCAGTGAATCAAGCTATGCACTGTCAGGTGAATAGAGATGAAAGGATGACTTTCGTAGTCGCGGAGAAATTTTTCTGTGTGTAGTAGTTCCATTGAGTGGGTGGAAGCGGGTTTGTTACAGTGGTTACAGTGCGATGAATGTTTCCTTCTATTGTTCACTTGAGGAATCTTTGTTTAGTAAAGCTAGGTGTGGTTTGTTGGTTTGTTTTTTCCTACAGAAAATCTTGTTGGAACCCATGATGCCCCTATCAGATGTGTTGAATATTGTCCAGAAGTGAATGTGATGGTTACTGGGAGTTGGGATCAGACAGTTAAATTGTGGGATCCCAGAACCCCTTGTAACGCTGGGACCTTCTCTCAGCCTGAAAAGGTAGGCTCTTTATATTCGTAACAGGAATTATGGTCCTTGGGGTGGTTTGACTTGATAAATGTTTGATGAATATGATGTTCAATTTAGAGGTTAAGAGTTGATGAGTCTGTTTTACAAACTCAGCTAAATATGTGAAGGAAAACTAATTTTGGTATTTTGGTCAACATTTTCTGTCAGTTGTCGTATTTGTACTGGATAGCACTAGTCCTAAACCCACTTCCATGTATTAACGCTTTCAGTCCTAGGGCTGAGAAGCAACTTTTCAGAGAAGTCATTTAGCAAAGACTGTTCCATTGCCTTCATTTGGGTCTGACGGCCCCAAACCAGGAAGTGGGATGGAGCATCACTCATTTTCACTTATGACCTGAGGTTTCTCTTGCGTTGACTAAGAGGGTGAAATGGGTTATCATTTGAAGTTTAGTGAAAAAGATGTCCTATATTCCCTGGCTTTTACCATTTATTTATTTTTAATACTAACAGATGTAGTTTGAAGGCTGTAGTGAAGGAAGCTTCTTAAAACTGAAACTTTGTGTATATTATTGTAATCTTTTTATCTGTACAGTGGAAATGTAATTGAGCATTCTTGCTGTATCCTTTATCAGACTTTATCAGGTGGTAGTTAATTTTAAAGATTGATTGTTTTAGCAATTTAAAGGTATCCTTCACTTGAGTCTATTTCCTCAGTGTAAATATACTATTCAGTTCCTGTTAGCTGTCATTATATACCGTAGTGCATCCAAAGAGCCATTATTTTTGTCACATCACATTCGAATCTACTCCTGGCAAGACCTTTGTTCAGAATAAAATAATTGCATTGTTTCTGGTTTTGATTTATGGTTGTATGTAACGTGTTAAGAGCTGTGATAAATTGCTGACAGAATATCATATAATGGACAGCCACACTGAATCAAGCTGCTTATTGGTTTAGGAAGGTTCATTATGTCACTTTTTTTAATATTGTTTTTGATAAATGTATATACCTAGTCAGTAGCATGACAGTGTTTTTACTTGATTTATGATTCGTGGGGATAGAAAGCACTTTTAGAAGCTTGTGTGTCACCTGTATAGTAAAGATTTAAGATAAAATTCCCATTCTGATTGTACTGTTATCAACTGATCTCTTTCTGTGTTTCTTAAAATTTGGTGTTTCATATATCTTAGGTTAATTTCTGTTTTTCTGCAAACATGTTTTCTGAATAAACAGCGGTAAATCTTAATATATCTGTTATTGAAATATTCTTGTGTTAAATCTACTGTTTTGAATCTTTTAAATTTCTTGTTTTTCCCTTGGTCAAATTAGCTGTTGAATTTAAAGGCCAGATTGTAGAGACTGTCCACTCGTTACATTGTGAAACCCAATTTGTTTTTTTCCTCCAGGCTGGTGGTATGTGGTTAACGTATTAGTGATTACTAACCATAAGGTTTAATTACTGAATGTTAAAGAGATATCTTACCATGTCATGAGGCCTCTTCATTTTTTATAATGAATTTTCAGGTTTTAAAATATTAGATGAGTTGCTTATTAATTGAAAGTAATGATCAGGGCATAGTTATATACCTGAAGTCTAGACTTTAAAAAAATGGTTTAACCTGATCAGGAACATACGTTTTGCCACCATTTTCATGAATTTGCTATCTCTGTTTAGTCCCCAGATAACATATTTGAAAATAAGTAACTTTAAATGCTTATTGGCAGGAAATTTTGTGATTTGTTTTAAAGGAATGTGATTTGTTTTTGTGGAAGTTGTTTTGATATTGAAGAAAAGGAGTTTTGAGGGGAAAAAAATAGATGCTTTTAGGGAATAAAATGCTTTTTAAATTTTCCCTGAAGATAACTCTGTCCTGAGTGTTCAGTATGACGTCAGGGTATAAGAATTTGCCTTGTCATATGCCAGACCACTATCCTTGTCTTTTAATTTTGAGTTCGTATGCCACCAAAAGCAACTAAGAAGCTAATTAATGATAGCTCTCTCACTCTTCCTGGGAAGGCCTATTTATTCAGTGTGACAGCTGGGAGAGTCAAGATTTTTAGAGTTACAACATGAAATATCCTTCCAAAAGGTGGTCATAGAAAAATAACTTTGAAAATGATGGTTTTATGAAAAGCCAGAAGCCCATTGAAAGCTATCTTGAGTTTTTATGGCTTTATTATCTCCTTTTTGAGTATTTTCTACAATTTTATATTGTCACTGAATGAAACAAGAGGGCTGTAAAAACTGTTTAATAATTTAACTTGTTTTAGTAACGAAGAGAATTGTTTCAGAGATGCTTTCGGAGAGTTAATTAGAATGTGCATTATGTGATACTTGGTTAAGTATTAAGAATATCTTGTGTTTATTATTTTGTGCCAATTGGATTGTGTAACTGTAGCATTTAAAATTTCGTACCTGTGTTTGTGAACCTGATCAGCTAACTTTTTTATGGTTTTATGATTAGTGGACTTTATCTTGGTGCGAAATGCCATTTGCAGGCAAGCAGATGATTTTCAGCAAGTTTTGGTCTTTCTTGAAAGGTGTATACCCTCTCAGTGTCTGGAGACCGGCTGATTGTGGGCACCGCAGGCCGCAGAGTGTTGGTGTGGGACTTACGGAACATGGGCTACGTGCAGCAGCGCCGGGAGTCCAGCCTCAAGTACCAGACTCGCTGCATACGAGCATTTCCAAACAAGCAGGTACTGACCTCTCCTCCCTGTGCCCGGGGAATTTGAAAATAAGAGGATCTTATATGATAATGATTTGGTCACTGCCTTTTAAAGCTTTGCTTTTGTTTTTGAGTAGTGATTTAGAATTTGTTGTAAATTTTTGACAGCCTTTTGTTAAAAGGTGGTATGTTAACTCAATTTTAGAGAAAGCTTTGATGTTCAGAGAGGATAAGTAATCTGCCAGTGGCTAGAGTAGAGGTTTTCAGATTCCTTGGTGATGCTAGTCCAGGATGCTTGACAGGTATACAGTAATCAGAGTTTTGCAGGTATTTTAATTTACAAAACAGTGAATTCAAATTTAAATCTGGAAATTTAGGATTATGGAATTTGCTGTTCTCTCTCTCTTTCTTTTTTTTTTTTTGCACCTCTTTTTACCTTAATGCTAATAGAGTTTAGTCAGTCTGCTAGCAGACCTGGATTTTTCTTTTCTAAAAGAATGCCATTGAGGGTAGAGAGGCGTTGTCCCTCATATAATGACGAACAGGGTAGGTCACCTTTCCCATCATCATTACTAGATGAGGTGACACTATTAATCTGCCCTTATGTCCCCAAATCCTTAAAGTTCAAAGGGAAGTTGGTGGTGGGGTCAGCTGCTGTAGGAATTTTACAAGAGGAAAAGTCATTAAAAACAGTGGGTGTCTTTGGAATCTAATGGCTATCCTTAGTGCTTATCAGAAGGCTAGTACCTCAAATGGTGATCACAGTTCTTCTCAGGATATTGTAAATTTCCATTGAAGATAAGGAATTGCAGTTATGTGAAACTTTAGAGATTTAAGTGCATGATTAAAATATGCTTGCATTTATGAATGTTATTATGTCTTCTATCTAAAATTTTCCGTCAGAGTTTATTTCCAGTTTATAATGGAAGTTTAACAGTAACATTTTATTGATTTTTTTTTCTCTCCATAAGTAGTTTTTTAGGAGTAAATCTTTTTCATACCTTGAAGAATTAAAAATATAGATTTCATATTTATCTTCATCTTTTACTTTCTTTGACATACTATTTCGAGGCAAAGTGAGGAAAGGTTTGAAATTATAAGCCATGTTTGAACATCACTGAAAATCTGTGTGGTTTGTGTGTATGCTTGACTTGGTGTAGTTAAATGCGAGAGGCAGGATGACCAAGATGGAAGGCTGGTTTTCCACTTGGTTTGGATTATTGGTACCCTCAGTGAAGGAGACACAATTCTCTTAGAGTTGTTAGAGGTGAGGAGGCGTAGAGCAAAGAAAAACATATTCCAGCTGATGGAATGAATTCTAGTCCCCTTCTGGACAGGACAACAAATAAATGATACTGAAACACTTTAAAATTCCTGTTGAGGTTTGACGGAATAACTCAACATTTTTGATTGAAGTGTGCAGGGTACTGGTAGAATGAAGAAGGCAAGTGGTGGTGGCCTTTTATTTATTTACTTGTAATAAAACAGATATAAGTGTTCTTAAACTTTGGAGTGACCTTAACTATGTTAGTACAGCTTAAACACGTGGTTAAAACCTGGCCGTATTCTCTTTTCATTTTAAAAATAATCATCTTTCTTTACTGTGGGCTGAATTTTGGAATTGGGTTGAGTTTGGGAATCCAGGCCTAGTTTTGGAAGCTGGATTCACCATTTTTGTCCTCTGATTTCCTCTTGTCAGGGTTATGTATTAAGCTCTATTGAAGGCCGAGTGGCAGTTGAGTACTTGGACCCAAGCCCTGAGGTACAGAAGAAGAAGTATGCCTTCAAGTGTCACAGACTGAAAGAAAATAATATTGAGCAAATTTACCCAGTCAACGCCATTTCGTTTCACAACATCCACAATACCTTTGCCACAGGTATGCTAACCTGTATCTAGTTGTTAAGATAACATCATTTTGCTATTAATTGAACAATGCACGTTTGTACTTGGGCAGTTTTAAAAAATTGTGCTTGCTTTTTATGATATTTAAAGGGAAGAAAATCTGGTATAATACTCCCTGGGGAAAATGTAACTTCTGTGACCTTAAAAATGGTTAAAATAATGGTTATTTTTGTATCTGCTTTTAAGGACTGTTGTAACTCTTGAAATTACTTGCAGGTGGTTCTGATGGATTTGTAAATATTTGGGATCCATTTAACAAAAAGCGGCTGTGCCAGTTCCATCGGTACCCCACCAGCATTGCGTCACTCGCCTTCAGTAATGATGGGACTACACTTGCAATAGCATCATCGTATATGTATGAAATGGATGACACGGAACATCCCGAAGATGGTATCTTCATTCGCCAAGTGACAGATGCAGAAACAAAACCCAAGTGAGTATGCTTCACCTGTATTTGAGCCTTTTCTTGCATTCAACCCAGGATTTATTAATTTTTCTAAATTCATGAATAGCATTGTTGATGCCTGCTCGATATTACAGCTGACTCTAGGGTTGGAGTTGATTTTATCTTGTTCTCCCAAGCTTTCAATATCCGTAGGTTGATAGACGTCTGATGGATAAAATTGTGCCTAGTTGTTTTGTAGAGAAGAATGTCAAACTCTCATTCTTCTTGAATAGGCACTATTATTTGAATCTCTGGAGTTATTACTAGCTCATTGCTTCAAAATTAAGTTGAGGAATTCAAGAATAATTTATTTTAGCAAATTCTATTTAAGATATTTAAGAATTTGAACTACCAAAAATCTTCCCTCTCCACAGAGGTTGTTTCTTTAATATTTACACAAAATGAATGACCTTCAGGTCTTACTGGAAATTCAGAGTAATATGGCCTTGCCTGCGATAGCAGATTTCCTTAGTTTCGAAATTTTCATAGATGTCTTTGGCTCTTGGTTGTAACTGCTGACAGAGAGGAACCATTTCCATTTTTTGGTACCTAGGGCAAAGCTTTTTACTTAATTACCTGCACCAGGCTTCCAGGCTTTAGGGAAACCTGATACTTAGGCACTTGTTTAACCATGAAATACCAACCTCCAAGAGTCTTTGTCCTGTTCCTTGGCCCTGTCTACTCAGGCCCTGGAAGGAAGTCCTCAGTAAATATTTATGGAATAACTGACTTTTCAGGATTCCTGTACCTCTCTGAGTTAGAATGGTATAGAGTCCCCTTGCTAAATTGGTTGAGTCCCTGAGAAGGGGGCAGAGTATTAAATACTCAATATCGTGTGTTTTTACAGGTTTGACTTTAGAACAGACTTAGCATGTGAAGCCTGTTGGATAAAGGGCTGTGTTTGCATTTAATCTCTCACTTTTGTATCTCTTGTCCTGGCTGGCCATTTTGATCTCATGCTGTTCTTTTTTCTTTTGAACTTGTAGGTCACCATGTACTTGACAAGATTTCATTTACTTAAGTGCCATGTTGATGATAATAAAACAATTCGTACTCCCCAATGGTGGATTTATTACTTTTAACAAAGAAACCAGGGAAAAAATTTAATTTTAATATTATAAGAACCTGAAAATATTGGAAAAGAGGTTTTTATTGCTTTTTTTAAAACAAACACTTTCTTTAGTGCATGAGATGGTTTGATGGTTTGCTGCATTTAAAGGTATTCGGACAAACAGAATTTGAGGGCAGCGACAGCACTTTTGAGAATCAGTTTTGACCTTGATGGTGTTTGTTTCTATTGTGGAAATAAATGTTTGTGAATAAATGTAGGTAGTAAAACCCCCTTTGCATTCTTTGTGGACCTTAAATGGTAGAGAAAAAGGCTCTTGAGCCATTTGTTTCTCTTGCTGGTTATAGTTGCTAATTCTAAAGCTGCTTCAGACTGCCTCATGAGGAGGTTAATCTACAATTAAACAATATTTCCTCTCGGCCGTCCATTATTTTCTGAAGCAGATGGGTCATCATTTCCTGGGCTGTGAAACAAAGCGAGGTTAAGGTTAGACTCTGGGGAATCAGCTCGTTTTCAATCTTATTAGGGTGCAGAAGGAAAACTAATAAGAAAACCTCCTAACATCATTTTGTGACTGTAAACAATTATTTATTAGCAAACAATTGATCCCAGAAGAGCAAATTGTTTGAGTCAGTAATGAGCTGAGAAAAGACAGAGCATATCTGTGTATTTGGAAAAATAATTGTAACGTAATTGCAGTACATTTAGACAGGCATCTATTTGGACCTGTTTCTATCTCTAAATGAATTTTTGGAAACATTAATGAGGTTTACATATTTCTCTGACATTTATATAGTTCTCATGTCCATTTCAGTTACCCAGCCACTGGTGATTAAGGTTAAAAAGAAAAAAATTATAGTGAGAATGAGATTCATTTCAATATAATGCCCTGAAGCAGAACATGAACTTAGCTTGGCCTATTCTGGGTAGTACCAAATAGTATTTTTGTTGTCACACTTTTTGTTTTTTATTTATATTATTTGCAAATGTATGTTTCTGAATGGTACTTGGACCTTTACTGAAATTTATTTTATCCATGATGTATTTAAAAAAAATTCTTCTGATACAGAGAAAGGTCTTATTTGTAAGTATTTCAGTGAAAACTTAGTGTAAGTCTGAACCCATCTTTTGAAATGTATTTTCTTCATTGCAGGTCCACCTAATCATCTCGTGAAAGTGGTTTCTCTATGGAAAGCTTTGTTTTGCTTCCTACAGTTACATGCTTATCCCCTAAGGGATGTGTTATAGTCATTGTGGACGCGTTATTTAGTATGTGGATTTCTCTGTTTTCTGTCTTGCAAAAAACTTGTCTGTGTGCCCTTTCATACTGACTGTGTGTAGGATGAGGAGTCTTTGTGTCCTTTTGCAGTAGTCTGAAGAACTGTTTTCCCCCAGCAAGCCCAGTTGCTGTGTATGAGCAGCTTGAGCTCTTTTTGTAAAATAACCTAAACCTGTTAATTCCATGCTGTCTAATAAATCAGAGATTCAGAACCCTTAAATGTTGGATGTTTTTAAATGTTGGTAATTAATGTAATTTACTTCATAAAAAGGCTTCTGTAAAGCAAAACTCCCTTCATCGAGGGCCTGGTGGGGATGACATTGTACCTTTAGGTCCACACTGCCTCATTTAATTATGTCTATTCTGATGTACTTTGGGGATTCAGTCTTGGATAAAGTGATCTGTTGGAGTTCTGCCATTTCCCTCGTGCCCTCTCGCTGGATCAGCAGGGCCCTCGAGCCAACTGTGCAGCTTCACGGGATGGGCACAGACTGCATGGCAGCTGCCGGGCGCCTTTTGGCATGACTCTCTCCCGGTAGCTGGTGCAGCCGCGCTCCTGCAGCTCGCCCAGCCCGGTGCTGATGCAGCCAGCAGGCGCACTTGCAGCCAAGTGACAGACCCGTCTGTACTTATCCATCAAATGCTAAATCAAAGTGAAGCCCTTGGGATGGTAAATAATGTAATAGCCAGACACTAACTGATGGTATTGGTTCTTTAGTGTGATTATGTGCTTTTTAAAGTCATAACCACTTGGTTGAGGACAGAGCATAAATTTAAAACATTGTTTAGCTGAAAGAGAATTAATATAGTATTGTAAAAGGTGACTAAATTAAAGCAATGTGGGGGACCTGGTTTTGAGGGCATGGCGTGGCAGAACTTTTTTTGTCTTTCTATCGCGATGTCTTCTTGTCTCTTGAAACCAATGTATTTCACCTTAAAGGTGTCTGCTGCCTCTTCTGTGGACGTCTTCACCAGCTCTTCTTCACAGATGGCCTGTTTATGATTATTGCCACCTTGCCCCTCAAATGACCCAGGTGTAACACCTTAGCATTTTCGTTGGTTTCCCTTACCCAGATTCTCTTCTCTGTTTTTAAGTGTCTCTTCTGTTTATCTTTCTTTTCTTTCTACTGCTACTATCCCACCACCTTAAAGGGTCCCCTCTGCCCATCTAGCGGAATGCAGCAGCCTCCAGTCTGGGCCCTAAATGCTCTGTCTTCTAGAGCAGTGACTTTCAAACCTTTCGGTTGTGACCCAAGTAAGAAATACATTTAAACCACGGTCCAGAACACACAGAGGTCAGTACAGTATGTATAGTGGTGACAGTCGTGTAAAGCATCACTTGCCCTTTGTACATGTGATACATCAGTTCCCTTCCTTCCTTCCTTTTTAGGAAATTCTCGTTATGGCCCCCTGAACGGATTTTATAACAAATGCCTTACCACCTCTAATTTGAAAAACAGCTCTGTACCACACAAAACTTTTAAAACTCTTGCTCTTTTTTATCATGCTGGGCTTGAGACCCTCCAGCGCCCCCGTTCCCCTTCATTCACTTTGAAAGACTCTATGCTTCCAAGGCCTGCAGATCACCAGGAAGGGACTGCAGACTGTCAAGGTACTCTTAGAAGAATGGGGGTGGAGCTGGCCTTCACTGGGAATTCTGACAGGTAGGTGGGAATGTTCTGGTGGCTGCAATATCTGGTCTGAGTTCCACCGTGTAAAAACTTAAAGGTATGTTAGTTGGGGGAACTCCTTTGTTCCATATGAGACAGCCTGAATCTTGGAGTCCAGCTTTTGAACCTGGCTTTGAATCCCAACTTTGCTGTTTAATTCATTGCATCACTGGCCAAGTTAATTTCTGAGTAGCAGTTTCCTCATCTGTGAAATGAAAGTAATCCCTAACTCATGGAGTTATAAATGAATATATAAATTGTTGACTAGGGCATGCCTGACACAGTCATCGCTTTCTTAGGATGAAAAAATATTCAATCCATTGCTCTCAGTTATTAGCTGTCTTTTCAGGTTCTGTTCTTTTCCATAAATTAATGTTCTTAGATATCTGTGGGATTCCAGGTTCTTAAATTTGTCAGTATATTCATCTTTTTAAAAACATGTATCAGCTGTTTTAAACATTCAGAAAAACTCAGAATCACATCTATAAACCCACCATCCAGATTTTAAAATGTTAATATTTTGTCATATTTACTTCCCTTTGTTTTAAAATAAAACACTGCACATGTTTGAAGCCTCATTGGTACCCCGTCTCACCACATTTCCACTTTCCATTCTTAAGTATTGTACTCACTTATGCCTTTATGCTCGTGAAGTATCCATATACAGGCAGACCTGGGAGGTATTGTTGGTTCGGTACACACCGCCGCGATGAAGTGAGTATTACAGCAGTGAAGGACGCACACAAGGTGTCTGGTGTTGCAGTGAATATAAAAGTTATGTTTAGACTGTAGTCTGTTAAGTGTGCAATAGCATTATGTCTAAAAATACGATGTACATACCTTAATTACTTTATTGCTGAAAAATGCTAGCCGTCATTTGAGCCTTCAGTGAGCTGTAATCTTTTTGCAAGAGTATTATCAAAGATCACTGATTATAGATCACCATAACAAACATAGTAATAATGAAAAA